CGGTGCTGGGTGTTCTGCGTTCCCGCCTCTTCCTGGCCCCGCCTCCTTCCTCTCCGGCCATCTTCGGGCGGCTCTATCACCCGCCGCTAACTTCACACTATCAACCCGTCCGTCCGAGGCCGCTGCTCCGGTCACCCGTGCTCCCCGCCCATCGCCCAATCACGGCCCGGGACACCTGAGCAGATCCCGCCTACCGCCCAATCACGGCCCGGGACACCTGAGCATACCACGCCCGCTGAATTAAGACTTTCCAGCTGTACGGGGCGTGGCCAGTGGCTCAGTTCTGCGTTTAAGCCACTCCCCCTATAGTGATTTATTCAGTCCTCACTTCACTTCCCGCTTTCCTTTTTAAGATTCAGTCCCGCCCCTGTACCGCTCATCCAATCGCCAGTAGTGACGTCAGCGAGGGCTTTTTTTTAGTGCCTGGCAGTGTCAGGCACTTGAGAAGGCGGAGCCGGCGCTGATTGGACGGGGGCTACGGGCGGAAGTGGTTGGCCCTGTGTGGAGAAAGATGAGTGAAGAAGAAGAAAGACCGACAGGAAATGCGTGTTTTCTGCGACGGGGAATGATAAGGGTCAGATGAGGGGTGGTTTGGGGGTGAGACGAGAAGGGTGGTGGCAGGTAAAGAGGGGGTTGTGAGGGATACTGTGACAGTGTGTAACCACAGGGGGCAGTAATACAGGAGGTATTATGTACAGTACTTATGTACAGTACTGTGTATGACCACAGGGGGCAGTAATACAGGAGGTAGGTACAGTACTGTGTATGACCACAGGGGGCAGTAATACAGGAAGTATTATGTACAGTACTGTGTATGACCACAGGGGGGCAGTAATACAGGAGTTATGTACAGTACTGTGTATGACCACAGGGGGCAGTAATACAGGAGGTAGGTACAGTACTGTGTATGACCACAGGGGGCAGTAATACAGGAAGTATTATGTACAGTACTGTGTATGACCACAGGGGGGCAGTAATACAGGAGTTATGTACAGTACTGTGTATGACCACAGGGGACAGTAATACAGGAGGTAGGTACAGTACTGTGTATGACCACAGGGGGCAGTAATACAGGAGGTATTATGTACAGTACTGTGTATCACCACAGGGGGCAGTAATACAGGAGGTATTATGTACAGTACTGTGTATCACCACAGGGGGCAGTAATACAGGAGGTATTATGTACAGTACTGTGTATGACCACAGGGGGCAGTAATACAGGAGGTAGGTACAGTACTGTGTATGACCACAGGGGGCAGTAATACAGGAAGTATTATGTACAGTACTGTGTATGACCACAGGGGGGCAGTAATACAGGAGTTATGTACAGTACTGTGTATGACCACAGGGGACAGTAATACAGGAGGTAGGTACAGTACTGTGTATGACCACAGGGGGCAGTAATACAGGAGGTATTATGTACAGTACTGTGTATCACCACAGGGGGCAGTAATACAGGAGGTATTATGTACAGTACTGTGTATGACCACAGGGGGCAGTAATACAGGAGGTAGGTACAGTACTGCGTATGACCACGGGGGCAGTAATACAAGAGGTGTATTCAGTACTGTGTATGACCACAGTGGGGCAGTAATACAGGAGGTGTATTCAGTACTGTGTATGACCACACGGGGGCAGTAATAAGAGGTGTGTACAGGGGGGCAGTAATACAGGAAGTGTATACAGTACTGTGTGTGACCACAGGGGGGCAGTAATACAGGAGGTGAATACAGTACTGTGTGTGAGCACAGGGGGCAGTAATACAGGAAGTGTATACAGTACTGTGTGACCACAGGGGGGCAGTAATAAAAGAGGTGTGTACAGGGGGGCAGTAATTCAGGGAGTGTATACAGTACTGTGTGTGACCACAGGGGGGCAGTAATACAGGAGGTGTGTACAGTACTGTGTATGACCACAGGGGGCAGTAATACCGGAGGTGTATTCAGTACTGTGTGTGACCACAGGGGGCAGTAATAAAAGAGGTGTGTACAGGGGGGCAGTAATAAAAGAGGTGTGTACAGGGGGGCAGTAATAAAAGAGGTGTGTACAGGGGGGCAGTAATACAGGAAGTGTATACAGGATCTGAGGGGACAGAGGTCATAGGGAATGATCAGAGGGGGTGGACGTTGTAGGGAGGGGACGGACGGCGTAGGGAATGATCGGAGGGGACGGACGTCGTAAGGAACGATTGGAGGGGACGGAGGTCGTAGGGAATGATCAGAGGGGGTGGACGGCGTAGGGAAGGATCGGAGGGGACGGACGTCGTAGGGAAGGATCGGAGGGGACGGACGTCGTAGGGAAGGATGGGAGGGGACAGGGGTCGTAGGGAAGGATGGGACAGGGGATT